AATTTGTTCTTTGTTGAGGACTTTTCTTTGTAGTCCTTTCTTTGCAATTTTTATTTTCCCTAACTTTTGCCTGAACTAATTCTTTTGAATTGATAGTCCAGCGGGATGCCTTAATTTTGCCTAAGTCACACGTTTTCATGTTTTTTGACTTAGCAGGCTTTTTCTTTTTTCTCGATTTTTGACTTTTTGAACAAAATGTGCGACATTAGCTTGTCTTTGCTTGTTGAGAGGATTGTGATTGCCTCGTTTCTTGATGAATGAGGGATAACATTGTGGTTCCAACCTCTAGATTCATTATACATGAAGGATAGCCCTCGTAGTTTCTCTTCAAAAAACATCTTCCTTATGAATTTTGAACACTCAGTCAGATTAACTAAAAACTACCCTGCCCCAGGTTAAAATTCAAGGTTTTTCGTATAGAAAAGAAACTTCTACTTCAAAGGCTCAAAAAGGGTTAGCAAGGGATTATCTTCCTTATATCTCCGGTGTTTAGGGATTTGAAACAATGCCTGTACATCATCAGCAAGATTTTATCCAAAAGCAAACAACCAGAGATTTTGTGTTCTTTAGATCATCATCCTCCCTTCAATCTCTGCCTAGGCAAGAGAATGGGCAACAAGTTGGTATCATAATGCAAAAAGAAATTTAAAATTTGAAAACAAATATGAGTGAAACGAATGAATTTCTTCAAGACAAACATACCCATTGTATTAAGATAATCATTCAGATGCAAACAAGTTCTTACATGCAAACAATGTTTTGATAAACAAGAAAAATTACAAAAAAGCATGAATAAGTTAATAATCTAGGAAGGCTTTCCATCTGGACTTGAATTACTGAAAACATCCTTCAAAACTCAAAGTGACCATCAATCGTGTTTACTCTTCGGCACATGCTTGATTTGAACTTCAAAACCAACGTTCTTGAATGACAGGATACCACTTCTGACCAACTTCTGAACCTCAATCTTCAAAGCAAAGCAACCCTCCAAGTCATGCCCAGGAGCACCTTGATGAAAGGTACAAGTCAAATCAGCTTTGTAGTACCAATGTATCTTCTCAGGAACCTTCGGTGGAGGTCAGATCTGAACCAAATTCCTCTGCATCAGGATAGGGAACAACTCCGTATAGGTAATTGGAATTGGATCAAACTGGGTTTTCCTCTGATTAGGAACTTGCTGATTCTGTTGATGAATAGGAGAAACATGATGATTCTGACGATGATTATTTCTTCCTCTGGTTCTCTTCTTGGAAAAGTTATTATCAAACTTCTTCACACCATTAACTGAGCTACCATCTTCATATAAACATCCCTTTCCGACATCTTCTTCTAGACGCACTCCCGCATTCACCTTGTCAGGAAAGTCATTAGGTGCATTAACCATCACCTTATCATGAGAGAATGATTTTAGAGTTTCAGTGAAGACTTTTATCATCGCTTCCTCCCTCCTAAAAGGATTGACTTGGGCGGCAACCAAAATTTCGACCAAACCAGTTGAGTGCTCCACACTAGCTTTCAAATTAGTCATCTCTCTACGAAGTTCAGAAACCTCTTGCTTGATATTCTCCATTGTTCTCTTAGCGTCAGTGTTGTACTGGTGAGACCAAAGGAAAAATAAGACTTGGAAAAAGACCTTTGAAAATGAAAAAAAAAATGTAGAATGATGCATGATATGCAAAAGAGAGTTTTTATCTGACTTTCAAGGAACTCAAGATATTAAGTTGTAAACATCAAAGTATGAAGATAGAAGATGAATTTTAAATTGGCTCCAAACATTGATCAAGTTATCATCAAGATCAATCATCCATTTTGGTGGATTAGGGTTTTCGCCCTATCAACACCCAAGATCCATTGAGCTTGACGAAACTTGTAATGTTTACAAAGAAAGACCTCCAAATTCCTTCAAAGTCAAGTGAAAAGGGTTTTATGGATGCATGAATGCATGGCTATGCAACAACCACAAGCAAGGTCACAAATAAAGTCGAAAGGTTCAACGTCACGAGCATGGAGTCAAGGTAAGGAACACCCCCAAGGTATGTACTAACGGTTTAATCACACCTGTAGAACAAGGTTCTAAGAGTTCCAGGAGTCTACATTCCTCCTTCAGATATTACCAACGTCTTGATTACTCAATAATCAGCAATATTCTCAAGAGAAACTCATCGGAGCGTAGCATCGCGTAACAATTACTTCCGGATTACTCCGTTATAATCTTCGCGCTACACCTAAAAGGCCAAGATGGGTTAGGGTTCTACGGTTCCCAGCTTCTCTGGCTCCCAGGTCGAAAATAATAATGTCTTCCCGATTACTCGGTAAACAAATATTACGTTCAAAAGGGCCTTCCACTGAGTGGGGGATCTCATGCCTCCTTCTTCGGGATTACTCCCTCAAAGTTAACATGACTATACCGCCCGTCCTATTCCTAAGTGTAACTTAGTCCGGGTATAGGACTTGTCCTTTGTAAATATTATCAACACCCAAATAATCATAATATATACATATAATCAAACAATCAAATAATGATAAAACAGATAAAACAAATTAGGCTTAACCCACTTAGGGATGGACCAGCAAGAGGTCAATCTATTCCCCAGTAGAGACGCCAATTCTGTAGCGGTGAAAATCGGAGATCAAGCTATTAATTAACTTGACTCACAAAAGCAAGAGTCGCCACCGCGCTTTATTATTTCCAAGGGAAAAGGGAAAAGAGCGAAATAAAACCCTAAAATATGCAATGTAAAATAATACTTAAAAGTAATAAAAATACAATGCGTTTTTGAAAGAGATCGAAAGTTCGGGGGTTGGTTATACAATGGGAAGGTACTAGCACCCAATGCATCTGCGGTACTCCGCAGGAACCTTTTGAAATATCTGTTTTTGGTTAAAATTGTTTGTTTGATTAAAATGGTTCGTTTGGCTAAAAATAGGTGTTCACGAGATTTTGAAGATGTGATAACCTAATGTTGAAGTTTTGGCTTAAAAAGAGGTGTGAGTTTGAAAATGGAGTCTTTTGGAAAAATTATCTTGAGTTTAGCAAAATAGTAAACAAAAAAAAAATGAAAAAAAGGGTATTCGCACGATCGGATGAGATGCATTTGATGACGTGAAGTCAACAAATTTAAATCTTTCCCTTGGAGTTAAAACCACAGACGGATAAATAAGCTAAGAGTATATCAAACCTTAGGTGAAAATAAATCACAAGCCGACAGCATGAATACTCCAAGCATCAGATAAAACGCAAAGGACGATGGATAAAGCTCACGGTGTCAGATAAGAATCCCTGCATCACAAGATATATATCGACAAATCTAACAGTACAAAGAAACTTATGTGCGTCCGCACAATTTTCAGAAGTTAGTTAGAATTAAAAATAAAATCACAAGGCGGTGAAAATAATATTTTCAAAACCTGAATTTATTTACAAGTGAAGTGAATAAAATATACAGCCAAAATATTATGTATAAGTATATACTTACAGTACCAAATATTAAATCAAAATAGTAAGGTAAAAAAGGAATAATAAAAAAGTATAAATGCGCTATGCGAGAACGAACACTTGAAACAGTTCTCGGAAACCTTCACAATAAACAAACTTGTTAGTAGCATAAGCGGTACAGAAATGAAAGTGAATGAAATTGCAACAATTAAAATCTATGTTAGAAATCACAAATTAAAGAATTGAAATGAAATCGTATGAATGGACATGAATATTTATACAAATAAGAACCAAGATGAATTGAATCAAAAGTCACAAATTTAACACAAAACAACACACATTTAAACAAACTATCAAGAAGAGGAAAGTTCACAAGAAATAATTCTAAACAAAAATTATTAAAAAAATAAACACTACAAAAATTAAAACAAAGAAAGATTAACTATTAATTTGAAGTTATTTAAAAAATGATTACCTACTAAAACTTTACCAAAATCTACTAGACTACTTAATTGATATTGTTTTGTTTTGTTTTTTTTTTAAATTAAACAAAACAGTATAACCAACATTAGTAAAGCAAGTATAAATCTAGAATTATAAAACAGACAAAAGAATGTAAAAGAAAATAAGGGTGAAATAAATTAATTTAAAAAAAACTTAAAGTAAAAAAAGAAAGAGATGACAATTTTCTCTCCTCTGTGTGACAGTAACCAAACTTTTTCACTATCACCACTACATGTTCTTCATTTCAATAAACAACAAAGTTTAAATTTCACAATCAATAATCATTATCACCTCAAACTAATTTTAACTACTTCAACAACAATCACCATTAATCAAGCATGAATTAACAACAATGTCACGCAGAAAATTTCTCATTACCGCAATTATACGAACAAATGAGTTAGTAATCAAAAACTTACCAAAAGTTAATCCCGATGAGCTAGCCGAAGTTGCTGCAATCACAAAAGCTGTTGTTGGTGACGGTCTGGAAATTGATGATTGATGTTCATTGACAGAGCTGGGATGGATGGATGTACCAGGGGGTTACAGTTTGGGATAGAGGCGAAGCTTGCTGTGTGATAGCAGGAAGGAGGTGTTTTGTGTTAACTGTGGCGGTGCTTGCGGAAATCGAACAGAGATTCAATGGATGCTATTTGACGGTTGCAGAATTATGGTGACGGAAGTTGGGATAAAGGAGGAACGGACTACTGTTAACAGTGGAGGTTAGGTGGTGCGTTGACGAAAGGGATCGTCGGCGGTGAGAGGGGAGCGTTCGCGGCGGGTGTGAGAAGGACATTTAGTGACGGAGACGGTGAGAACATGTTCGGAAAAGGACTGTGAGTTTAGAAACGGAAAGTGGTTGAAGGGATTTATGAAGCCATGATTAATGAGTGTGATAGTAGTGGGGTAGTTTGGAGTTAAGGTTTTACGTGTGGTTGAGATAAGGAGGTTGAAGTGGGGTTATACTGGAGGTGTGAAAATGGTGAGGAGTATGAGGCTAAAGGGAGCGTGCGATGAGCGAGACAGAGGGAGTATTGGTTGGGTTTTGTGAACGGTTGGTTTACGGAATGAAAAGGGAGGACGGTGGAAATTTGTTTTGTAGTGGAGGGGGCAAAAGGGTATCCTGTATAGCCATCCACCCTTGCTGGCCTCTAACTCCACCTTTGATCGCGTAGGCCTCTTTAAAACCATTCTTGAATAATAATTCAGCAACTTTCATGGAATTACCGTCAAAACTGTCCAAAATAAACACAACAGTATTCTCAGCATCCTCAAACCTCTCCAAAACTTTCTTCACAAACCCATCTTCATTCCCCTCCTTAAACTCAACCGGCACCACTTCCTTCTTCAACATCATCAAATTAGGAGACCCAAGAAACTTCACATTCTTCCTATCCCTTATATCCAACAGCTCCGAATCCGGTTCATCCCGGAGCTTCCTGAAAGCGTCAATAGCTGACACAAACTTATACTTCCTGAAATACTCTTCTGCTAAGGGAATACCAACGAGATAAACGAAGCTGCACGCAGCAATGAAAAATGGGTATCGGTTGAAGAAATCGTCAATGGAGATAAGGATTGTTTCTAAGTTGATTCTACCTGCGTCTGATAAGGGTAAAGTGGGTTCAGCAGCGAGGGAGTGGAGGGGAGTGAAGAGGTTGATTGTAGCGAGGGAAAAGCATGATTTTGTGAGGGGGTTTTGGAGTGAGATTGGAGAATGGGGTTTGATGGAGTGAAAGAGATAATTAGAGGGAGTTAGATAGAAAATGGGTTCCAAATGTTACTGTTGGTGTATTTTTTTGTTGTCCTTCACAAAGAAAATGAAGACTATTTAAATAGTCAGATGAAGAGGAAAAAATGATTTCAGCTTGCAATCATATCCGTCCATTATTCAATTCCGTTTGGCAAATCCAGTATCGATCCATAACTTCTGTTAACAACCAATAGGAATAAAGTGTAGTGTAACAAATATATTTTGTGATCAAATAGTCCTTAAATGATAAAAATAACCAAAAAAACTAAATGTATCAAAATTAACTCAATTTAAAATGATTTTTTTGAATATTTTATGAATAAAAAATAAAGACCCAAAATGAACGAAAATGATAAAAAAACGGACGAAAATTTATCCGAAAAAATAAAATGAACACATTAAAATAATCTACATGTCACAAAGATTAAAGAAAAAATATTCAAGAAGTCAAAAATCAAAAATAAAATAATAATAAAAATATCAGACTAAACAGACGTTTAAGGTTAAAAACGAGACTTCGAACTGTACCGAAAAATAAAGCGAGCATACCGTCATAATCTACGCGAAGCGCAGATTCATAAAATGATCGGTAAAAGGTGAAAACTTGAAATATTTTCTCACTACTTTCCCGCATAGTGTCGAATCGCTTTTAACAGTCTGTCTATAAAACCGAAATATTTTATTATCGACATATAAACAACTTGGAGCGGTGCAAGAAAATAGTAAACAGATAAAAATGAATGAAGTGAAATGTCGGGTATTTTACAACTGAAAGACGATGCAGACTTTGATTTAAACTGACTTTTCTGGTCAACTTAAATACGACTAATGATGCAAAATATGATGAATGAAGATATTTACTAATGATTGTGACCAAATGACAAAATATGGTATGAAAGTGCGACTAAAACATATCAGGGGCGAAATTTAGGGTGCAACGGTTGTGCCTTGATGAATCAGTCTTCGAGAATCCACAATCAACCGTACTTCTGGCTTGGGAGACTCAAAACCTTAATTGAGGCGCGACACCTGATGCTCTTGATTCAGACCTGTCTCTGCACATGAAGCAAAAGAAAACATGAACATACACCTTTGTATGCGATTAGAAATTAGTGATACATAGGCTCAAAATGTTCAAAACACTTGACAATCTTCGCATAGTCAATGCTTGAAAGTGAGAGGTTAAAACCGACTGTATTTCGTGACCTTGACTTATCTTAAAAAATGCAAAAATAAAAATGGGATCTTAGGTCAAAAATTGGGGTACAACAGATGTGAATGCGGTAAAAATCTTCATCTCTCGCAATCCTGTACCCACTCTCTTGGGTGACATCCTTCATCATCTTTATGCTCGTACTGCCCGAAAGCGTGGAACCTTGATGTGCTGTGCTCTGTTATTGGCAAGGTGGTTTATTTCGCACCTTCCCAAGTCAGTGCTGAAGAACAAAGAAGGCATGGGCTGGGCTTATAGGGTGATGTCTCTCTCTCATTATGACATCATCTGGACTCTCAAGGGTATGGACGAGGTGACTATTATTGATCTATGTGGGGAGTACCCTAATGTTCCACTGTTAGGAACCCATGGAGGAATTTCTTACAACCCATGCTTAGCTCTACATCAGTTCGGGCGTGCCAGAAGAGAAGGACCTCATGAGATGCTAATGATTAGTATCATCTTTGATTTTCAAGGGGATAGCGACGAGAAACGTCGCAGATTCATAAAGGCTTGGGATAAAGTTCACCAATCTGATCCACATGAGCTGGGCTCAAAGACTTCGCTTCCAATGGAGTCATATCTCAAATGGGTCTGTATCCGTGCCCAAAAGCTGGGTATGCCATATGAAGCCGCCCGGCCTGTCACTCTTGAAGTTGCTAATGAAGAAGGAGTTCTTCCAACCATCCTCCACCCTTATATGCCCACAGATATTGGGGCACTGAAAAGGTCTTCGATGCAGCTGAGGGAAGAACGGGATTCTTACCGAGAGAATTTCAACGAGCAAGAGCAGAAAATCCAGAAGTTGACTAGGCAGTTGGAGAACGAGCGGATTCTCAACAACTATGTCTGCACTGATAAGAAGAGACCATGGGAGAGTTGATTGACCTTTGATGATTTCCTTTCCAGTTTTTATTTACGTTTCAGTATTTCCTTTCCTGTAATGCCTTAAGGGCAATTTGTTGAACAATTTGAATTACAAAGTTTATCTAATAAAGTGTGTTTCCTTTCTGGTTTACAAATTTGAATCTCCCGATTGTCTTTGAAATCATAATCATACGCATTTCATCTCATGCACTCCATAACAGGTACCCATTACAAGTCTCTTATCTTCTTCGTTGTTTATTTCAGCAATCATCATGTCTGCTGAACCTTCAACTGAGCAAGCCATCAAGGCCCTCCAGGCCCAGAATGCCCAATTTCAAGAGCTGTTCATGAATCTAGCTAAGGGTCAGCAAGATCTGAAGACCCTGATTCTGAAAGAGAAGAAGAAGAAGAAGAAGAAGAAGAAGAGGACAATCCTGTTTAATACATGGCACAGGTTTGGAAACAGGCTTCGGAACAAAGTTTATTTGACTACCTCATCTGGAGGGAAAGACAGTCAAGAAGAAAGGAGGGCTCCTAGCCCTGTGGTCTCCGACAACGAGACGGACTTTGATGAAGAATAGTATCCTCCTGCTGAGGATAGATACAAGCAAGTGGAAGACCGGTTGAGTGCTATGGAAGTTCAGAAAGTGCTTGGTCTGGACTTTGGTGATCTAGGTCTATCATCTGGGGTAGTGATTCCCCATAAGTTCAAGGCACCAGCTTTTGCTAAGTATGATGGAGTTTCTTGTCCGAAGCTGCACCTCCGGTCATATGTAAGGAAGATTCAGCCTTACATCGCTGATAAGAACCTATGGATCCACTTCTTTCAAGACAGTCTCTCAGGGACTCAGCTTGAGTGGTTCTATCAGTTAGACGGAGCCAGTATCCGTAGTTGGGAAGATTTGGCTACTGCTTTCTATAGGCAGTATCAGTACAACTCCGACCTCTCTCCTACACGTACCCAACTCCAGGGTATGTCAATAGGAATGGGTGAAGGATTCAAAGATTATGCTCAGAAGTGGAGGGACCTCGCCGGAAGAGTTTAACCACCCTTGGTTGATCGGGAGCTTGTGGACATGTTTCTGGGGACCTTATCTGGTCCATTTTTCAACCACTTGATTGGAAGCTCTTCATCTGGGTTTACAGAGCTTATTTTGACCGGTGAGAGGATTGAAGCTGGTATAAACGCTGGAAAGATACAGAAAGGTGCCTCATCGAGCACCGAGAAGAAGCCGTTTAAGAAAGAGTCCAGTGTTGTCTACAGTTCGAGAAGACAGAATAGACCTGAACACCGCCAAGCTATTAATGCGGTTGTTATTTCAAAACCTGCTGGTGCTCCTCAGCACAACAATCAACAGAAGGATGAGATACCTCGAAGGCAATTCACCTGTCTTAGCATGACCTTATCTCAGATTCTGCCACAGTTGCTGAAGACCAATCTGGTGATTCTAAAGGAAGCCCCAAAGAATCCAAATACAACATCACCAAGGTATAACCCTAATGCCCGTTGTGCTTATCACTCTGATAGCCCGGGGCATAATACAGATGATTGTTGGACTTTGAAGAGTAAGATACAGGACTTAATTGATGTGAAGGAGATTGAGTTTGAGGCGCCCGAAAGGCCTAACATTGTGACTGCTCCTATGCCCAGGCATGGAGTAAATGTTGTAGAAGAAGACTCATTTTTGGTTTCCGTAAATGATATTGTTACCCCTTTGATGACTGTGAAGAAGAACCTTTTGCTAGCCGGTTTATTTTCGGGCTGTGACGATGGTTGCCGTATGTGTTCTGTTCTACCTACCGGTTTCCGTCTTTTGAAGTCATGTGTCCAACGCCTGATGGATAGTAAAGAAATTCTGTTCGAGAAGACAGCTGTTCCTGTAGTCTATACTGAAGAAGTTGCCATCATTACCATTTTTTACAATTCTTCCAAGGCTCCCCCGAGGAAGCCTGTTAGAATTACATCTGTTCCGAAAATCGCACTTGTGATCATCACTGTTTCGGGGCCCATCCCCTACACCTCTAATAAAGCTGTCCCTTGGAACTATGGGGCCGATGTTTATTTTCATGGAGTTAAGCAAGAGTTGGATGTTGATACTGACGTCAGCAATATTGTGGTACCTGCTAAAGTCATCCGCAGCGGAAGACTTTTCTCACCTGATATCTCTCCACCAACTTCTCGAAGACCTGTTGTTATTACACCTGCCAGTGTACCTGCCGCTATTCCTATTCAAGTTCCTATTCTTACCCCTGTCGCCGAGTCATCTGACACTCGGGGCAAAGGGATCACCACTGATGTGCCTGCCCAGACGGAGGCACCAAAGACGATTACTGTTGAAGCTTCTAAACAAGAGATGGAAGAGATCTTGAAGATCATTAAAAAGAGTGACTACAATGTAGTTGAACAGCTGGGGCAAACCCCGTCCAAGATTTCTATGTTGTCACTATTATTGTGCTTGGAAGCCCATGCCAAGGATCTGATTACCTTCTTGAAGACTGCCCATGTGCCACAAGAGACATCAGCTGATCAGTTTACAGATTGCGTGGCCAATTTAACTGCTGATAATGGATTGGGTTTCTTTGACGGTGATTTGACTGCTAAGGGGAAGAATCACAACGATGCCCTGCATGTCTCCATTGAATGCAGGGGCACTACTCTTGCACATGTATTGGTGGATACTGGTTCCTCATTGAATGTCTTGCCTAAGAAAGCTCTAGACCGGTTGGATTGTGAAGGGTTGGAGTTGAAACCAAGCAACATTGTCGTCAGGGCCTTTGATGGGTCAAAGAGAATGGTGCACGGAGAAGTTGATATTCCAATCAAGGTTGGTTCTCAGGTGTTCAACTCTACATTCTATGTGATGTATATTCGACCATCTTATTCTTGTTTGTTGGGTCGTCCATGGATCCACAAAGTTGGGGCCGTAACCTCAACGCTCCACCAGAAGCTGAAGTACACGATCAAAGGGATGATTGTGACAGTACAAGGAGAGGAAGAGTACATGGTTAGCCACCTCAACTCTTTCTGATATGTAGAGATGGATGGGGAGTTCATTGAGACCCCGTTCCAGCATTTTGAAGAGGTTCCCCAGACCCTGGCATCTGCTGAGACTGTTGTTGAAGATTCTCCTATGAAGATGGCTTCCCTCAAGGATGCCCGGGATGTTGTTGAGAAAGGTAGGTGTGCACAGTGGGGCCAACTCCCTGATTTTACACAGAAGACTAACAAGTTTGGTTTGGGTTTCACTGCAGAAGCTCATAGGGCTGTACGGAATGCACGAATCGGAAGACCTCCCGTGTTCATCAGCAACTCGGGAGTGAATGCTATTGAAGACGATATGGAAAATTCTGAATTCGACAACTGGATCTATCCTACGACCGACAGTGGACAATGCAATTGGACAGCAAAGGACTTCATCCCTATTAATTTTGTTACCCAGTAATGAAACTTTTGTTTTGAATATGTAACAGACAATGTTTTAAACTTTATGGCCCGGTGTCTTACCCGGGGCACCGTGGTTTCATTTGTGAGGGCTTTATGTGTGTCATTTTCATATATCATTAATAAAAGCATTAGATGTTCTTGCATTTCAAATTTTGCGCTCTTTGTTTTTCTTTATTATATATTGCAAAACAACTATTTACACACACTCATGTATCATGATCTACATCCACTCTGGATCCCACTGATAACGACGCTGCTACTACCAGTTATGACTTTGAAAGTATGATCTCCTTAGTCGAAGACGAAGGTGAAGATGATTGCGAAGTGTCTGGTGAGTTTGTTAGACTTCTACTTCAAGAAGAGAGGGCCATACTACCTCTAAGCTACCAATTCTGATGCCTCCAATTGCAGGAAGACCGTTGATCTCATACTTAAAAGTGTTGAATAATAGATAAGCATGTTGGGACAGCATGACGAGTCTGGCCGAAAAGAGCATCCTATTTACTGCTTTAGCAAAAAGTTTACCGACTGTGAGATC